GTACGTAAAGCCGTCGGTCCTGCGCCTTAACTCTCACTAGTCGTGTCGAGTAGTCCTCCCACCGGAGTATGAGAGTGACAGGAATAGAGAGTGTTTGCGCGACTTGTGTCTGCGCGTACACTTCTGCACTATAATATCTCCTGCGCAGTTGGCTAGTCTCAATGAGATTGGCCGCCGTGGCCGAAACCGGTCAGGAGAACATCATCATCATATATTCATATTTTTTTTGAGAAAATAAAGTATTACTATTATTATTCAGTACACAGATAGAGTATAACCTGAAGTAACCAATATGCTACTATCAGGCAGGTCGAGCGGAACTGGGTAAGTCCCCAGTTCTTCGTTTCGCTTCTAATGTAATAAACCACAAATACGTTCCGAAAGTTAGAAGACGTGTGAATTGTATATTCATTGGAAGTTACGACTTAAATTACGTTACCAGAACATTTGGAAAACTTTTCGGGGTAGATATTTATGAGGCTTTTCCATAATTGAATTACCGATTTTAATTACCATAATTTGAGTGTAACTTAGTTTTGTTTGTGGAGTTGAGTAAGAGGGTGTATAATAATTATACAGTTTACATATGTATGTTTTAATATGAAGATGGCTTAATAGGCTATATTATACAAATATTTCCCTACTTATATGTATGGCTGGCATTGACTATTGAGACCGTTCGTGAGATTTTTATATATTTTAGTTTTTCTACGTATGTATTTTTACGTCCCTAGATGTCTATATGCGAGACCTCCAGGTCTGTGTACTAAATTCATCCAAATCTGCCTAACAGTTTCAGCGTAAAGGAGTAACAAACAAACATACATACGAACTTTCGCAATTTTATAAATAATGTTTATCTTATTTTGGCTAAAAAAAATCTAGTTTCAAACAACTAATCTGCGTCATCTTTCTAGATTTAGTGGTAAGTGAAGACTTACCACTGACGTTAGGTCACTTCTTTCTGCATAATATATTTTGTTTAACAATCTACCATATAAGCTTATTAAAACAACTTAAATCTTTATATACCTATACATAAAATTCCGTTGTGCCTACGTAATTCTTCTCCTTCCAAACAGTATACTTGACATATTTTGATAAAATTATTTTGGTGTATTTATAAAGTGACCAGGATGGTTTTTAGCTATAGTTGGACCTAATAGGTGGCGCTGATATCAGTTTTTTTCTGACCAAACGAAGTTTGTCAAAGCATCGTCTAAAGATACTAAATAATATATACTTGAGACTTCAATCATTTTATTAAATCATCCCAAATCACTCCTGTTTAGTCATCGAAAAGTGTAGGATATGTTATTAAAGTATTAAAATCATTCCAAATAGATAATTAAATAAATTAAATTTTATTTTAATTTAAGAATATAACCAGAATCTACATTATAGTCATAATTAACAAATAATAAAAATGATAGTGAATAAATATTATTAGTTATTTCTATAACTATTACAATAATATAATAAAATATAAATGCAATTTATTACAACCAAAACGCTATCAAGGCATACCCGTACTAGTAAAAGACCTTAGTCACCGTATTTTTATTACTTTTCACATTTTATTATATGTCCCTTACGTGCTCCCCTACAGCGGAGACGGTGGGCCAAGAGGCACGAATCGGACTTACCTATCACTCCTCCAACCTTTTTCAATCCTCTGAAAGCATTTTAAAGTTACAGGAAGTTGAAGTAAATGATAGTTATGTTCAATTCTGATAATTTATAAAGAATATATATATAGGTATCTATAAATATTTGTTTTGTATTTCATTGGTGCATTCTATTGTTACTTCGGTTCTCATATAAAGAGTTTATACTAATATAATAAATGTGAAAGTGTGTTTGTTTGTCCTTATGTCACGTCGAAACAGAGTGACGGATTGGCATGATTTTATGTATGAAGATAGTTTGGAGGGCTGGAGAGCGACATACGCTGCATTTTACCGCAGGAGATTATCTTATTCCCACAGTGAAACGCTTCGCTCTGGTACCTACTAATTACCTAGGGGTAACTAACAGTAGCCTATTGGCTACTCCAAGACACAGCCTATATTTATACACAATGAAAGAAATGAAGAAATAACAAACAAATATGCAAACAAACACGATATTAGTCAGACTAGCTTTTGCCCGCGGCTGCGCACAAGAAGTTTATATGTATGTATACATATATGTACGTATATAATTGCTTCACTTTTAAGAGACGTAACTTGATGTTTGCCGTAAATTGATTTGATTGATTGATCGCAAATATTATGAAATCTTCACTCGTAGTTTCAGCGATGAGTTTAAACAAATAAAGCTAAATCAACTGTTCAGCTTTCAAAGCTTTCAAATATCAGTATAGACATATATATAAATACACTTAAAACAATTTTATTAAGACTATCCAATTTGACCTATATTTTCAATTTGAGCCATACACTTGTAGAAATTATTCTTATGGGTTATGAAACACCATATGGGACCACCACATGGGACACTCAAGTACCTATAAATCAAGAATAAATATAATAAGTGTACGCGTCGTGCCATTTAATATTCAGGATGAATTTTTCAAGTGGGTGTAGATGTCGATATATATAGAAAAGGCAGTAGCGAAAGATGCCGAAACAATGTCTAATGATACAGATTTAGTTTTTGGGAAAATAATATCTTTATCTGGTAATCAAACCGTTTGGCTTAGTTTGTAGTGACCCTTGCTGTGCCAGCGGTCACGGGTTCGAGTATTTATTCGTGTGATAAGCCCGAATCTTTGTACTCCAGTCATGGATGTATATATTTATAATATATATGTATTTAAAGCTATATATGTGCAGTGTATTAAATATCAGGTATCCATAAGCCGGGCAGCTTACTATGGAACTAGATGGTGCTATGTAATAATATAAATATATATAAAAAACAACTAATTTTGGACTACTTAACAGACAACAGGAAAACGAAAAGTACATAACATACGAATAAAACTTAGATATAATCATCTTTCTACAAGTATGAGTAATAAGCAAAATGCTAAAGGACTTACAGATGGATGAACTATTAATGGGTCAAAAAAATGGAAACCAACTGTTTAAGTGTATTTAGGGAACAAAAAATGTGTACCTGCTAACTCGTAAGCTGTGAGAATATCCTTTCTTATTTACAGTTCACTTCCTGTTTCGTATACAAATATAACTAAGTTACTAGCACTTGCTTTACTTAAAGGAAATTAATTAATACTTAGTTACACCAATAAATAACTTAACATAATAAGTTCTATATTTGTATGGAATTAATATATTATTATGAATAAAATATTTAGTTTATTGACGTACAAATATATATGTATGTACTCACTAGAGACTCACCCCCGCTCCGCCCGGGTTCATCACTAATTACGTTTTAACGTTTAGTATACATTTCTCAGAGATGAGATATTTTCCCGCAGTAAAAAGCATCCTATATGATGACCCGGATAGCCAGCTATCATCATACCATATCAAAATCTGTCTAGTGATTTTCTCGTAAGGTCACAGACAGAATATACGTATTAAAATTATACGATATATATATATAAATTTAAAAAAACGTTTTAAGGATTAGTATGGAATAAATAGACTACATATTAGTATAAATATATACATAGGTATGATGAGTTTTATATCCCTTACTTGAGAAATTATCCCCCTTTTCAACCCCTTTAGGGATGATTTCCGGGATATAAACTACCCTATGTCCTTCCCGGGGTCTCAAACTATCTTCTTACTAAAATTCATCTTAATCGGTTTTGTGGTTCCAGAGATTACTTCCTACAAAAAACTCACAAGCTTTACCTCTATAATATTAATTGTTAGTATACTCTATATACGATTCACAAAGTAATTTAAAATGCTGGATCTCCAAATGTAATAATAAAAGTCCAATAGACCAATTTTATGGTTCTGTGTTTAAGGAAAGTGAATTTTCAACAATCAACTAAAAAACCTTCTACAACTTCCACTTGGTAAAATGCTTTGCTTATTCGTAGAAATATAAATACTGCCCATAGACCAATAAACGTGCAACGATTGTAGCTACTTGCCAAACGAGTAAGACAAAAGCTACATTTACAGTAAACAAAACGTAAATAGAACTATAAAATTATTAAACTTTAAAGCACTCAAAGTTAAAGTAGTTTTCATTGAAGTTTTTGCAATATAAAACCTTTTCCATGTAAATAAACTCATTCGATTGTAAACTTGCTGAATTCAATTACCCTTTTGTTCCTGTTATCCAGTCGACTCTGTACGTGTTAATGACTTTTATATCTTTTATGAAATTAAAATTTTGTAATAACAGCAGGTGTTTTTACAACTTCAAATATTTTAAATGAAAAAATAACATGAAAATGTACATGGGAGCTATTATAGTGAACAAAAAACAAGCGCGCGTTCTATTACTGCACTGTCATAGTCTAATGGGAAGGCTATTGGCTACCTCATGCGATTAGAAAGAAATTCTCTGTCAAACCAAACAGTAATACCGATAACTTCGAAACTCTGGGATGTAACTACGAATTACTTTACATAAAAATTTAAAGTATATATAATAATAATAATACTTTTCTTTTTACACATCTATGACAAATTACTTAAGATACATATTTGATTTTAGTTTATATATATATATATATATATATATATATATATATATATACATATTTATTATATATTTTTTGTTTCATGTATATATATAGTAGTTCTGAAGTATATACATACATCTTGTTTAAATAGAAAGTGATCTTATAATCTTTCTTGTAAAAAAATTGGTCTTTTAACGTGACTAGAGCCTCTATTCAATACAATGAAGCTTCACCTATATTACCTATATGGGTTGCCAACTTAAAACTAGGTTTAGAACCTGCTTTACTCTATTTTAATGTACTACCACTGCTTTGCTAAAACTATAAAAAGTTTTTTTTTATTTATATTTATACTAAAATTTTATCTAATTTGTTACAGGCATACACGCCAACGGGTTTCGAGAAGTACGGCTACACCTGCACAGTTGCTGACTATAGAGTCAATTTTTCAGTATGGGACACGTCAGGTGGGTATCCTTTCATTCGCCTACAATTTCTATTCAACACGTTACCTTTACTCAATGACTTACTAATTCATATACTAAATAATCATTGATTAACTAATTAATTAAGATAGTTTTTGGGCCTTTTTTGCGTGTTTTGTTGCGGCTCTAGGTGAATAATAAAATAATAAAAATAATATGTTGTGACATTAACACACAGCACCGTCTAGTTTCATGGTAAGCTACGAGGCTTGTGTTATGGATACCAGATAGTTGATAAACTACACGTATATAACTTTAAATATATACATATTATTATATATATGTATATATACCCATGACTGGAGTACAAACATTCGTGTTCATCACACAAATGAATGCCCCCAGCGGGACTCGATACCGCGCCCGCTGGCACAGCAAGTAGGGTCACTACAAATTGAACCGAATGTATCGTCAACAATATAAGTCATTATTATAATAGTAAATAAAAAATAGCCCCTATGAAGTACTAAGTAGTTACACCATAAGTATAATTTGTAAAAAAATATAAAATTCTAAAATATGTATTGAAGCTTTCAAAAATTGTTGTTAATGCATAACAGGGACAGTTAATAGGATCGCTGTATGTGAAAAAGAGATAGATTATCTTACAAATTTTTGTTAAGTACTTGTTGACTGGACGGATTTGAATGAAATAAATAGATAGACCTGGAGTAACTGGTATAGGCTACTGTCAGATACCTAAGGACGTAATCAATTGACGAAAGCTATACCTACTTAACTACGAGCTATATTTAATGTTAAACAAACCAATTCAGTATGTCCGTCTGTTACTCAACAAAACAACACTATCTTGCAAACATACGCATGCTGAACCGCGAAACTTTAATACGATGATAAATGTGTTTTATGCGGTATAATATTTAAGCTACGCAATTTCTTACTGATTTACTTTTTACATAGGACCTTTAAAATATTATTCTAATAGATTTGACGCCCTGACTCGTTATCATGTATTATGTACTATACGAGTATATACTTTTTTTTTTTTTAACGTTGGGAAATGCATTTACGCACGAGGTGTGGGACTCACCGGCAAAGCCAGTACTACCCACTAAAACCCAACAAAACCTTCCCCCGTCTTATTGGGGCGTCGCAGGATCGCTTACGCATTCAACTACGACGCCCCGACGGCAGGTCTGCCGAAGCAGACCACAACAACCACGGGGTTGCTCCACAGTCCACTCTGCTATCAGAGAAATACCAGGAGCAACCCGCATGGTACACTGCCCTCCGAAGAGGGCCACCTCCCACTGCCCACCGAAGTGGGCCACCTCCCTGTGCGTTTCTTGGCTTCGCGCCCGGTTGGGTTGCCGGGCACTACTGAGCCCCCCCACCACGACAAGGTGAACGCACGTTGGGGGGGATACGAGTATAATAATACTATGTCAAGCATGTACAGCTGCAGATCACGAGGTTTTAGATGGGGATCCTGGATCGGGCACAATAATTACTGGGTTTTCATAATGAGATCTACCACCATCACTGAAATCGTCAGTAAATAGTAAATGCCTCTCCATTAGTAAAATTATCATCACACGTCATTTCTTGCAGAAATAATTTATGTGATTTTTTTTTAAATCCCTTTTTCCAATGTGATAATTACTTATATACCTGCCACTTGTTTCAATTAATTATTCTTAGAACAAAATACGATGCACACCTAGAACGTTTCTATAGTTTATTATCTTTGCTTTTTATTTTATACGAAGCTTAAAGCGTCCACAGACCACGTTTGATAGGAAATTTTCAAAAATTAGCCTTCCAACAATAGCTTAGAACCATCCAGATGACTATACAAGAATACAAAGATTTTTATCAAAATCGGTCAAGCCATTTATCAGGAGAAGAATTACACACGCTCACCACATTTTTATATAATACATATATAGAGATCCGTAACTGTGACTAGCGACTTAACATCGCTCCTTTCGGATGCGTCCCTAGGTGAGCGGATTTTGTTCACAATTTCATGGATTTTAATATTTTGCGCGGGACTCTAACTCTTTATCTAAAACAAAAGTTAAGTTACTCCTTATAACATCAGCTATCTGCCAGTCAAAGTCCCATCAAAATCGGTCCAATTTATAATATTATTAAATGTTAAAATTTAATATTTTTTTATAAGACCTAGATATATATACTTTCATATGCATTTAGTAAAAAGCTGTTATTTTAGCAATTACAAACAGAAACTTAAATTTTATTTATTTGTATATATGATGAAATATCTAATTTAGCACCAAATCAAGATAACTTCCGGGTGTGCTATACTATACGAGTGTAATGCACATCTGTGCATAGTTAATTGTAAACACTGGCCAGGAAAAGGGAGCATGAGCAAAATAAATATTATCTTAAACAGACCGCAGTGCTCTCTTTGTAAATATTTGTGGATTGTAAAGCTTCTACGTGAATTGAGTTGTAACATATTTTTAATAACGATGTTGCAGTAGGATGCAGTGATTTTTACCCAATCACTTTAGAAAGAGGGTTGTGTGTTTTTTTTTATATATAAATATGTTGGGAAATTAATACATAGCATCATCTAGTTCCATGGTAAGCTACGAGGCTTGTGTTATGGATACCAGATAGTTGATACACTACACATATATAACTTTAAATACATATGTACATATTATAAATATAAACACCCATGACTGGAGTACAAACATTCATGCTATTCACACAAATGAATGCCCTCAGCGGGACTCGGATCCGCGACCGCTGGGACATAAATTAGGGTCACTACAAACGTGTCGTCAAGTTTTGAGTGTATTCTGTAGCACAATTTATAGTGAGAACGAAAAATAATAAAAACCAAACGCACCACATGTAAACGATACCAATTTTAGGAAATGAAACTATTTTTTTTTTCGTTTTGTACGATCACTTTACTTCGCTATTTGGCTTCTTTTGCTTTGTAAAATATTTTGAGATATCGAGAATAAGCATGGACTTAACTAGAACAAGTAATATATTAATATTGTTGCTGTTAGAAGGATAAATAATGTAGAAATAACATATCTAAACGTTATGTCACGTGGGGAAAATATTACATTCCCATATACCTATTGTTTCGTTTTCTATTAGCGATATCGTTTATTGAATAGAAATTGAATTTGTATTGTCTTTTGGATTTTTTTTAGTTTCACTGCAATGTGAAAGATGCAATTGATCGATATTTAATCATATTTCATACATACCTATATATGTATAAATAAAAGACAAATAAAATTGAAGTGTCTGTTTGTAATGTCAGAATAACAGCTTTTTACTAAATGCATATGAAATTATATACGGTGCTTATAAGAAAAATACAATTTTTAAATTTTTTGTCTGTCTGTCCGTCTGTCTGTTTGTTTCGGCTAATCTCCGAAACGGCTGGACTAATTTTGACGGGACTTTCACTAGCAGATAGCTGATGTTATAAGGGGTAACTTAAGCTAATTTATTTGAAAAAAAGAATTAGCGTTCCGCTCAAAAAAATTAAAACGCATCCAGGGACCCACACGAGCGAAGCGAATGTAAGTCACTAGTAAACAAATAAGATTAAATTTCAATAACTCACTCCGATGTAAGAAATTTGAACATATAATATACCTATGAACTTACAAGAATTTACAACAAACATAGAAATTATGAACTCTACACGCAAAAGGATCCTATAGAAAGTGAGATCATTTTACAGTGGCTGTGTGTGTAAAGTCTCTATTATAAACTCAAACCACATACCCATTTAGAACTATTCACAATTATTAGATTTAGTAACACAAATTTAATTAACATTGAGCTTTGAAATTCCTAAATTACTAGCGATATTTCTATATTACTTCTATACAAATATTGCCGTACGCGTCCCGTTCAATAAACACACGATTTAGTAAAATCAGTCAAATGTTAGTAAACAGTTCTGTAACTAGCTTAAATTTAAATATTAACTGAATTATAATAATACTAACCTTGCCCACGGCTCTGCCCGAGTTCAGATGACCAAAAACCAAATTCTTAGGTTTTACATATTAGTATACTCTTACATTGCAGTTTTTGTATTTTTTCTCAGTAATGAAATATTTTCCCGCGGTAAAAGGTCCCACATTTTGACCCAGATAACCAGCTATCATCATATCAAATTTCATCAAAATCCCTCCAGTGGTTTTCCGTGATGCGGTAACAGATAGACAGACAGATAAAAATTCTAAGAACTGTAGATTCGGCCTCTGTATCGATAATAATATCTATTTCAATAGGATTTTATAAAGTCGCCAGTTTCATGTAAATTTAAAAAAAAATCTTAAAGGTGCTTGTAAAGGTGATGTAGGTATGTATTTAGTTAAATGAAATAAAATGAAATTTTATTAAATTAGACTTACAAAAGAGCTTTTGAATCGTCAATTTAATTTATATAGAGTCAGTGAAGTCAGCAGTTTTGCTGAGAAGAGCCGGCGAGAAACTCAAGAGTTGCTCTGTTTATAGTTAAAAAGTGATAATTATAAAATTGGTCAAGTGCGAGTAGAATTTACACACTGAGAGTTCCGTACCTGTACTTTTTTTTAATATGACTTTTACTCTGTGTATGTAGTAATATGAACTTCGATGATCGATTACGAACGTAAAAAAAATGTTTCTTTTTTTGTATTATTATTTTTTGTTATAGCGGCAATAGAAATACATACTCTGTTAAAAATTCAACTCCCTACCTATTACGGTTCATGAGATACAGGTCTCTGACAGACAGACGGACGGACAGCGAAGGCATAGTAATAATCCGTTGGCACCCTTCGGGTACGGAGCAATAATAATATAAATCCTTCTTGAAAATATAGCACACGCACAGTACCAAGAATGAGCTGGCGATACGACATGTTACAGTGTATTTCATTACTGCTTAATAAAATGTAAGCGGTTTTATTTCTTTAGTCGTCCATTTTTCCATTCAAAGAGTAATCTCATCTTAAGCTTTA